TAAAAACACACCCCTTTTAAACCCCCCCCCCCCCCCTTCCCATGCTTCCCAAAAAAAAAACAATCCATACTTTTTTCCTGCAGACATCAAGTTGACATTATAGGAGGGTCCTCTGCTTCTATTGGCAGTAATGAGACATGGTCATTCTTCTAGCACAGAGCAGCACTCTGATGATGTGTGAGCATCAACCAGTCCTGGAGTACTCTAAGCCCAACTTGCGCCTCTCAGGCTGGCAGAGCATCATTCTGCCATGAAGAGGAACTTCAGCACGGGACCAAGCAGGAAGTCAGGGACAGCGCTGGAGCATGGAGAGTGCAAGTGAACATTGGCAATATTTGTTTCTATGCAGGATAAGGAAACAATTTTTTTTTAACCTGGAGTTCTACTTTAATACAAAACCACATAAATAATGTTGTTTACTCAGGCCAATGTACAGTATATCTAAAAACATTGAAAAGACTATAAAAAGACTAAAGTTTCAAGGGACAAATTAGTACACGTGTACAGCTCTTGTAAGTACATACTGTTCGATTGTTCCTGTTGGTGTCTGCCTAAATTGGTCATACTAAGCCTAATATATGGCCAGTTATATTCAAGATTGCAATCTTTAGCACAATACTTTGCAGAAGTATGAGCAACTATTTCCCTTAGCATACTGTACCTATAATTTTAGCTATGCAAATTGGAGAGAGCCTTCCATTAGATAATTAGTCTAGGTTCAGCAATGTTATGTCCCCCAAAAATGAGGTCAGCTGCCTACCTGACAATGCCATGTCCAAGATGACAATGCCAGGATTCAAATTGTGAGAGAGTGGTTCAGGGAGCATGAGACATCATTTTCACAAATGGGCCACCACAGAGTCCAGATCTTAATCCAATTGAGAATCTTTAGATGTGCTGGAGAAGACATGCTTCATATAGTGAGCTTGGGGCCAAATTATTCACTTTAAGGTCACTGCAAAGGACAAGGGGGCACTCTTTCCATCTGGAGGAAAAGAGGTTTAACCTTTACATACAGAAAGGATTCTTCACAGTTAGAGATGTGGAAATGTGGAACAGACTCCGCCAGGAGCTAGTTATAGCTAGCTCAGTTAACTGTTTAAAAAAAATCTGGATGTATTCTTGAATGCACGGAATATTACTGGATATTGAGTTCTTATAGGTATATTAGGCATCAGAGATTGTTGATACAGGGCATATCCGATTGCCTTATGGGATCAGGAAGGAATTTTTTCCCCTGTTGGAGCAAATTGAACCATGCTTTATAGGTTTTTTTTGCCTTCCTCTGGATCAACATCGGGTAATTGTGGGCATAGCGTTCTGTTTTAGGTTTTTCTTTTTTTTCTTCTCTTATCTCTATAGGTTGAACTCGATGAACTTGTGTCTTTTTTCAACCTAACGATGTAACTATGTAATTATGTAATTATGTAATTATGCAACTATGATTTAGCATCTGTGCTGTGCTGGTTTAGTGTTAAAAGGTTAGCAAAAAACAGTGCTCGGAAAACAGAACTGTAAATGACATCCAAAGTGGAAACATCCAAGACCCAGCATTAATCCAAACAGCTGTTAAACCACCCGCAAAATTTTGCAGTGCAGAAAAAGGGGGTGCCTGTACACCTCCAAAAGCACAATGGGCGAATTTATTAATGCCGGAGCAGACAAAATCTGTGGCAGTTGGCAAGGGCAACCAATCAGCATCTCTCTTCAATTTGTTCAGCTAAGATTTGAAAATGAAAGAAATAAGCTGATTGGTTGCCATGCACAGCTGCTCCAGAGTTTATCTGCTCCAGTCTTGATGAATCCCCCTGTCTGACTCCTTTAATTTGCTACCTAGAAGTGGACACACCAAGAAGGTTTGTTTTCTTACTTTATTATTGTTTTTTCTCACCCATACTTGGCATGCATCTTCATGTCAATTGTCTTGTTTGTTTTTCCTGTTGTCAAAAATTTGGGGGAAAGAGGACTGAAAAACCTAAACTATCTGGTACTAACAAAAACTGAAATATTTGGAATGGTCCTTTTAAAAGTATTTAGCTAATGGATAATATAATTTTATATGTTTTTTTGTTTCAAATAGAGCCAAACTCAGAGTCCCAAGTGATGGAGCAGAGCAGTGACACATGCAAGACAGCACAAGTCTTGGAAATCCAAGATGGTAGGTTCCTTATAATTACCATTGATGTGATATTCAAATTGCTTAGAAATCAAGACTTTACTCTAATTGCAGGATACATTTGCTAGCCACATTCATAAGGGCCACAAATAATTCTACAATTCTGGCTCAGTAATGACTAGTTACACATTAACAATGGTATTTCAATCTTTGCAGTACTATATATACATTCAATGGACTGATTTTTAACAGTGTGCCAACAAAAATGACAATTTTGTTCATGATAACCGTATTCCACATTTCCTATTTCCAGTGCAGGTTAGAAAATGAAAAATAAAACCTGACTGTTTTTTACGGTTAACCGTTCTATTTTGTTTGTTTTTTCTAGTTTAAATAAATTAGCCGCCTAGAGAGGAAACAGTAAATATAACAAGTGTTTGTGATGTTTGATAGCTTGCATGATTGTTATTGGTACTTAATTTGTATTGTTAAACACATTATTTTATTATACCCAGTGACTCTAAGTAACTTTGCAAATACAACTTGTTATATTGTCTTGTTTGCATACACATTGGCTGTGCCTGTATTGTAGCTGCAGCAATCAGTAAGACTGAGAGATAGTCGCTGTCTGTGCTACCAGTTGCTTGCTGACCCTGGATGTTGTAAAAAAGCTAATGCTTTCTACAAATACAGGCATGCTGTAAGAACCACACCTGTACAGAAGATTTCTTGAAAGATCCTTGCTGTTTTACATTTTTAGTAAAATTTAAGTAGTTTAAATATTAATTTCTGATGCAATCTCTTGAAAGTTCTTGACATGATGACTTGCCCAGTAGTGTTGAATCAGTACTAGACCCAGGGTTCACAGGGCAAAATTGCCAGCGAGAGCAAACTGCCATTTGTTTTATATCTGATTACATATCTTTCTTATGTAAATTATAAAAGATAAAAACAATATGCAATTCATATTGTAATAGGAAAATCAGTTATTGCAGTTTCTGCTCTTTTGCATGTGCCAGTATGTCAGGTTACTTAACCACTTCAGCTCTTACACCTGTTCACCCCCTTTGGACAGGGACATTTGTTACATTTCACTATGAGCCTATTGATTCAGCAATAGTTCTTTCATTACAATGGATAACAAAATAATACATATATTGTAATTTTTTTTAGGACAAACAAGGCTTTTGGTGATATTTTCTGCATAGTAATCAATAGACGCAAAACCTAGCAAAACTATTAAAAAAAAATACAACACACCTTTGTTTCAATCAGTGTAATGGGGGTGATTACTGTTCATAAAAAGTATAAAATCTATTCTATTGTTTGTCCCATTTAAAATGGCACTAACATCTAGTACAAAGTTATTTACAGTGAAGTAAAGGCTTTCTTTTCTACTTAGCACTTTTTTTCACACAACACTAAAAAAATTAACAAACGGAATGAATAATAATAACAAATAAATAGTTTTAACCCCTTCATGACTGAGCTAGTTTTCAGGTTCTGTTCATTGAAATAAAAATTAAAAACAAAGAAATAAAAACTAATTGACAGAACAATCATAGTTAAGGAAAAAAAAGGGAAAATAAGTTAATTAGAGCAGATTAGGGTAAACTAAGCGTTTTATAAGGATAGGAACAAGTTTTATTTAGAGAAAAACCTTTTTTGTCAGGTTGATTTAATTGATGCCAAATGCAAATTGAAGCTCATCCCTCATGATTGCAGATGAATTAAACAGAGTAGATACAAAAGTAACACTGTTACCTTGTATCTCTATCTCGTGCCAGAACAGTGTTTATATTAAACACTGTGCTAGAAGTCAATTTTTCAGATCCTGGCTTCCCTAATCTGCCCTAATTAACTTATTTTCCCTTTTTTTTCCTTAACTATGATTGCAGTACATTGGTTTTCGGCCCCTAGGTGATTTAGTTTATGTAGCATATATTTTGGCTCCGAAAACAAGTAACAAAAACTACTACCCCATATTTCTTAACTTTAGGCAACCCTAACACTCTATTCTACTCTCATTCAAACACTAATACCTAACCTATACCCTAAAAATAACTTAGAACATTTAGCCCCCCTTCAATGTATAACCTAACTCTCTTAACCCGGCCCTAATACTTCTCGCCTATCTTTTAACCTTCCACTTCAATTGCTTAACTTTAACCCTAAAAGTAAACCTGTCACTTAACTCTTTAAATCTTTACACTAACTTTACCTTAGTCAGCTGAAAAAAATGCATCTTGCAGTGCCCCCAGCTCCTGTTGTCTAGGGGCTAATTAAATAAGTCCTATATCAAGATTCCTGTGCTCCAAATAACTGACAGGCAGCATAACCAAACCAAAAGCTGTCAGTCTGAATTAAACTTTATATTTTGTGAATGACTTAGATGCTGGGCTCTCAGCGCTGTCACGCAGAAGTGGAGGCAGAGTGATCGCTTCTGTGTAAGGTCCACGTTGCAACTTGAACCTTGCACGGGGCTAACTCTCTTTGCTTCTTGCAGCTTAAAGAAGTTGCCGCAGGGCGAAGAGAAAGTAAGTTTGTGCGAAAGGTGGTTCAGCCATTATAGGAAATATGTTTCTTGGCCCTGCCAATTACTATGTATACATGTATTTGTTTTGGGGCAGTGAACTCTGGATCTGATGTTAATTAATATACATGTACTTTATTGAGTGATTGTTAAGTTCTGGTTGGGGTCGCTATTGTTTAGTATACTATAGAAATCTAGCTCCCACCAGAAAGAAAACAACAAGTATTTCTCTATGACCCTATAAAGTAGAATGCTTCCAGTCCATACTGTAGTAATTTCTGAGACCCGAGTACTGAATAAATTGCTGCAACTCAAAACATCCCACTTCTCCTTGATAACACAAAACCTGTATTTATGTTATTATGAGCATACATGTAGTAATAATGAAAGTGTTTGTTCGCTTATTTCATTTGCAGATGAAATGAATAGTCAGATTACAGTATCATCCAATGATGAAAATAGCCAATCTATGGGTAAGTCTGAATTGCAATATTTCCTAGAGTACTAAGTATTACAACATTTCACTAAGCTAGTAGAATTACAGTAAGTTCTTGCTTTAGTCAAAAACAAGTACCGTATGTCTAAGGCTAGATATTTCACTTTTATAGTGCCATAGAAAATAACTGATAGGAAATCACTGATCTTATGTGTTGCACTCACCCCTGAAGAAAACTAGATAGGCTGTCTTGGGGACTATCTAGGGTACACAGTTTCATAGCTGCCCGAAAGCACTTACCAATCCTCCAGTGGCAACCGATTAACTGACTTTGACACTGGTGATCTTTTGCTTGAACTAGCTTTATTCAAGAACTTTTGGGGCAGGATACCCATGGTCTTGCAGACTCCAAAAAGGGGACAAAAGTACTTACAGCACAACCTTCACCGATAAAGAAACTTTAAGTCAGCCTGGCATTCTGTGAATAGAGCTCCTGGCTTTAAGATACTGGATGTTGCAGCTATCAATTTAATGGGGGAACAAAATCACCATACTTCAGTCAAGGACTAAGTTTCTGCCCAGCATCTTAGGCTCCTTATTCAGGCTGAAATTCCTCCATGGCATTTCCATCCCCAGGCTTCACACACTAGGCATTGAATTCAGGTCTCAGTTCAAGCAAATGGTTACCCTCCTCAGGCATCAAGCCTAGGATGATAAGACAATACACAACATCCCCCCCTTCCCCAGACAGGAAACCCAGAGGAAAGACTGATGTCTAACTCCCAAAGATTTTTGCCCTCTTCCAGCATGCGCCACTGGCAATAAACCCCCCACCAGTTTTTCAGGGAGGTATAAACATTCCTAGCTCTGATTAGTGCAGCTGACACTCCTCAGCAGCAGGCAAAAGCAAACAATCACCATAGGTTAGGAGATAAAGCCAAACTATCAATAAGAATCAAACTGACTATAGCCTGACAGCGTCTAAATTTAAATAGACACTTCTGCTTAGGGTAGGGAAGTTACATACGCAATTAACTTTACTATACATTATTATAATTAAATTATAATTAATTGTATTACTATGTTCACTCAATAAGTACTCAGAAAGAATCCAGAGGTCCATCAAGCACCCATCTCCACATGTATCATGTCTCTAATCTACCGCTGTGAACTTTCTTATCTTTTGTAAATGTTTATTTGCCCTGGGTCATCACCACCTCTCTCTACTTTTAATTGGGAATATTTGTTATGAGCATCAGTAAGTCTATGCTCTGGTGTATTCCTGCTCTATTTCTTTTTTTCTTTCTCAGTTAGTAACACCAGTCAGTCTTTCCTACAGCAGATTCCCCCACCTCAGATCACTGGCTGGCACTGGGTCTGGTGTACTATTTAAATCTCCCAAGCCCAGTGCTTGTGGTAGTTTCTACACTGGCATTCTCTGCTCTTGCACCTGCCTGTTTGACCTACCCTCTGCTTGTTACCGACACGCTATTTAGATTGCAGCCTGATCCGACTTCTACTTGTTACTAACTACACTATATGCATTGTCTTCAGCATGTCCGTCATCAGCCTGCCTCTCATCAGTTTCCTTGTGTTCAGCCTGCCTCTCTTCAACCTTTCAACCTGCCTGTCATCAACCTGCTTGCCCTTAGCCTGCTATCTGGCTGCACATTGATAGATGCTGCTGCTTGTAATGGCACAGCTATCTGATCCTCCTCCAGGGTTTTCCATTGGCTAAGGCCATTCCTGCTATTGGGCACACTTGAGCTCTAGCATCACAGTCATCTGCATTCCACCCAGAGACAGTAAATGCCTAGCTGTTCCTACCTTTTCCTAACATTTGTACAAGCCCACTAGCCATCTAAATGGATGCTACATAAACCCAAATGTTCAAACTAACCTGTCATGTTCAGAATCTCTTCCTGCACATCATCTAGCAGACTCAGGTGGCTGTTGCCTGCAGGGGAATATTTACCGCAAGGCAAACAAGGCATTTGCCTGTAGCAGCACTTTGCTGGTGGGGTGGCGATAAAATGCCGCCCCCAAATCAGAGAGGTAAGCCGGCGCCGGGCGCACAAAATCAGGCAACCTTGGCTGCCTAATCAGGTGGCTGCTGGTGGGGCCTGGCAGCAAACTGCTGGGTGAAATAGGAGGTGGGGTCGTGGCCGGGGCCAAGAGAAATGCGGCCTGGCTGGTGCAGGCTGCGGGCGGCTGGAGAAAGAAGCTTTGGCGGCTGGAGGAAGCTGTTTCGGTGGCTTTTGTTTTTTCAATAATAAATCCAGATCAAATATACATTGCCCAGCAAAATATTTTTTTTACATTTTTGCTGAAGCACTTACAGTCATCATGTTTCCAGACAGATGACTCTAACTCAGTCAGCTTCCCTTCCCTGAACTTCCTGTCTAGTAAAAAATCACAAGGGTAGAGTACAGTCTCCAGCAGCTGTCCATCTACTAGCTTGGTGAAAGGAGGAGATAAATGGGTGTGTTTGGAGACACACACGGCTTACCAGCCGTGTCTCCATAGGAGTGCAAGACTGTCCCTATATGACCCTGCAAGGGAAAGAAGCCACCCCTAAAAAATCAGGACCAGTGCTCAGGGGACCAACTAATTCTGCAGGAAACAAATGTTTAAACATCAAGAAGAAGCATCCATTGTAAGTGATTTAATCAGCATTTCAAATAGCTTAAAACTTAATCAATGCTCTTTTAATTTACAGGTATACCCAGCTACTGCTTGTAAAAATATATGTGTGCATTGTATTTATTATATATCTATGACAACAGAAACAACAATTTAGCATGTGAAATCAGTTTCTCTTGGTTATGGATGGATAGCATACTATGGATAGCCTCCTATGAATATTTCATTGTATTATGCCTAGCAATAAAATGCATTCAGTTATTGCGTCTATATTAAATATACCTTTTATGATTATGCAGCTTATAGATACTAGCTAAACAATGTTTACACCCTGGACTGAGCATATTCAGATCTCCCATGTCCCAGAATAATCCTTTGTCATTTTCATTTTATGGGTCTTTTAATGCTGACAGTTTTACATTATGGATATATTTTATAGGCGAGCTCAATCCAAAATAAAACACCTTGCACGCAAGAAGTGAATGTACTTATCAACCACACAAGAAAACAAGCTTGAATAGGTGTAAATGAGCCACACACAATCAATGCTCAAACACTTAAACAACCCTTTCCTCATAAACGTGTACACTCTGATATGCAAATCTCCATTTTTTTCTGAGCAGGTCAAGAGCTGCCCCACACCTTTCTTTCTCTTGCAGCTCCCTATTAAAGACAGCTGCCACCCATCACTTTAAATAACCTATCAGTATTTGCAAGAGGTGGAAGAGGCAGGCTACTGCTGTTTAGATAGGGGAATGATAGTCGAGCTGTGTGTATTCCCCACAAGCAAAGTTGTTTGCCATGCAAGTCCCCAATTATTTTAAAGCAAACTTGAATTATATAAGACTACCTAATTCAGGCACCTCCAGGTCACTGTACCTTACTGTTTATCCATTTTCAATACCATGGGTGCCTAAAATCCTTAAATGTTATAGAGTGCATACATTTCTTTGGTCAAGGCTTTAAAAAGCCTGTTCTCACCCCTCCTATCTCCTGAGCCTCACTATTTGCCCTTTACTGTAATGGGTGGCTTTACTGGCTAATAGCGATGCACAGGAGGTGGTAGGCCAGTGTAAAGGAAATTGACTCATGAAGTATGTGCATGTCAAAACACCTGAAAATTATGCTTATTTTGAAAATTAATCTATAATGGAGAAAACTCTTTTGGTTGCAGTTACACATTAACATTTACAGTTCTGTCCATTACGTCCATTTAAAAAAAAAAATTGCTATTGCCTTTAGAAAGCAGTCTTTTAATAGTCTGGAGAATTTCAGCAGCTTTAAACTGATTTGTGGTCACCATGGATAATTATACACCATTGCTCACTGGGCTGTTACATGTTCACACAGCTTATTAAGGAAGTGAAAGACTTGATGACAGATTACGTCAATACCTGAATGTATTTTTATACAGTAACTGTCCAAAAGCAAACAGTTTTACCATATAATCTAAAATGTGACCCCTTTCAGTAACGATCCCAGGTTTCCAGGAGAATGAAAAGATTCTGGTGTTTTTACTGCCCTTAGCACAAGGCTGTCCAAATTAATTTGATCCCAGAGAACATTAAACTAGCAAAAATGCTAAATAGTTTTTCCCAGTTTCCCTCAAAGCGACAGTAAATTAAAGTGCTGTCATATGACATATTTGTTACATTATCATTGTGTGTATGTATTGTGATAAAATCCTGATAAAGTTGCAAATGTATCCCCATTACTCATAAAATACATATTTTGATAAGTATCAAATAATTGCTTTCGTGAAAAATTCCCATATACGATCTCTTTGTGGTTATTGATGGTGGTGATGTTATAGCATTAGATATGTGTCCAAAAATCTGTCTATAGCTACAGCTTCTGAAAACATTGGAATAATTTTGTATCCTAGGTTGGGATAAAATATTTAAATAATGTGGATTTAAATGGGTTCAGACATCCAAAACTGATATTTAAATGCTTATTGATTAATACTCTGGGTAAATCAATGGATAAAGGATCTGAGTTTCTGAGTTGTCCTGGTAGCTCATAGAATTAATAATAGCATGCAATGCCAATCTGCAGGTCCTAGAGTGAGCAAGATCATTTTTGTGTATTAAAAGAGGCAATGACTCAAGAAAGAGAGATATGATTGCCCTCACATTAACTATTAGTAAGGTCTCATTGAACATGTTCAACCAGATTGTCTTTGGGGATCAGGAAAATGTGCTTGCTGGGAAACTTTCTTTCCTGTCGATCAACTGCAGGCTAGGATTCTGAGAATGCAGAGTGTTTTAACTGAACTTGAAGTGACACTAAATTTAGGCGGCACTAAATTTCAAAATGCATTCAAGCATCTTAACTATTAATAAAAAATGTATCTTATCCGTGCACCACTAGGCTGTAGATCCTCAAATTATCTCTGAATTTGTACAGACACTGCCCTTCCTTCTGGAGGGTGGCTATGTTTGTTCCCCATGATCCCTGTGTGTGTTGTAAAGTAGCCACCGCTCCAAGCTCGCTCTAACGATGGATTACAATCCTAAATTTAGTTTACGAATTTGTATTGAGATTGTAATCCATCAAAGGAGGGAGCTTGGAGTGGTGGCTACTTTACAACACACAAAGGGACAATGGGGAACACAAGTAGCCACCCTGCAGAAGGATGGACAGTAGCCGCAGTTAACCAGCCTCCAGAAGAAAGGACAGTGTCAGCACTAATTCATAGATGATTTGAGGATTTTGTTACTTGTTAGGGTACTTGAATGCATTTTTAAGATTTACTCCCAAATTTAGTGTCACTTTGATGGGCATGTGTCTTTTTTTCAAGATGATAATGTAACTAAATAAAAAACACATCATGGTCAGGGAGATGTAATTGTGACTATTTTGGCAATTGGCTGTGCTGGGAACACACATGAGATATATCAGCTGTGGTCTAAGAAATACAAAAAGCTTGTGGGGTCATTCATCCGGCCTCTCCCTACCCATCAGTGAGATGTCGGATTTGACAGACTTGAGGTGGTCATCATTTAAAAGTGATATTTATGCGTTATAATAACATAGCATAGTAAGGTGTTACCTTGAACAAGACAAGAAAAATAATCTTTTTTTTTATATTCTAGGAGATATTGCTGATCCAAGAGAGGGTGATGAAAAATGAAGCCGTGAAGTAGGACAAGTGGGACACTCTTCCAGTAGTAGCAGATGAGATCGCACTTGGAGCGTTACTCTTAGGGCTTGCAGGCTGTGTGATTTAGGGGTTTATCTGATTCTTGTTATCAGTTGAAAAGGGTTTTGATGAAATACTTTACATTTTGGAATTGCTTTTAGTAGCTTCTATTTTTGTTCAAAATGCTAAACCTAGCTTCAGGCTACATTTATTTTTTTTTTCATTTGCTAATGGTCTTTCACAAATTCAAAGTTTTCAAAGCTGATAATAAAAAATACTTTAGTTTACATGCATAAGATATTAATTGAGTTTTGAAAGTCAGTTTGTAATTTGGCTTGACCACTTGTTATCCCATGACACAATTTAACAACGGCCTTCCATTCAAAGAAATCACTGAATGTGTATATGGACAAGCCTCAAGATGTTTCTTTATGTGATTAGAACATTTCTTTAAGTTTGAAAATAAAAATTAATAAAAGCTCATTAAATACACTAGTTCTGTAAGGATGTGTCAGTGTCTTCAAAAAACTTTTAGCCTACAGAATTTGTAAATGGAGACCACAAAGGTAGCAGGGCTATAGACATCCAGTGCTCAGAAGGGGTCCAGCATCTTGTTCATCTAAAAGCCTCCAGTATGGACAAAGCACTTTGTATTAAAGCACCAAAGAGGCTGCCCCCTGATGATCTGGACTTTCAATGCCTAATATATCAGTAGCAGGTAGCAACAGTGTTTGTAAGTGCTTTTTACATAAGATTACAGAGGCATTTATACTCACCTGTTGTAGAACCCTCCAGCAGGAGTTCTAGCAGCCTCAAAACAACTACCGTATTACCAGTGTTGTTGAGGCACATTGAGGCACAACTGAGATTCTGCTAGTTTGGCTATAGAAGAAAGTAATGATTAAATTGAATCTATGCAGAGATCATGCACACTAAATTGTTTACATACACTGAACAAGCAGTAAAATAATTTTAAATCAAGACTTTATTCATTTCTGTACCTATAAGCATTGTGATGAAATTAATTTTCAGAGTTCCTTCCCTATCACTTTCTGTTGCACCAGAAACTTCGTAGCCAACTGAACTAGACTCTAGAGTCTTTGTTGTGATCTTTGAGGATCTTTGAGATGGAATATCCACATTAAAATTGGCCAGATAAGTGAGGGATGGCTTGTTTTAAGCTCCTTTACAGCTTACTGTTATGAATACATAAATAGTTTAATGCACACACTGTGGACACACTGTACAAAAAACAAGAAATTCCCAGCACACTCACCAGCCAGCCTGCAAAACAATACACTGCCTAAGTCTATAAGAGCCTCCATCTTGGAGCATATATAGCAAAGGCTGAATTGGGTGCAGGTTTCCCAGGAGATAGCCCAACCTCCTTAAAGGCACAGGGACAGACCAGAAGCCTCACACATCACAAAGGCAGCTGAAGCCCCCAGTGTGTCCCTACACTAAATCCAACAAGTGAAACAAATGGCAAACAAACTAATCAATTCATAACTAGCTTTAAAGCAAAGTGTACATGAAAGAGCTTTACAAAGTACACAAACAAACATTTCCCAGCACACTCACCATCCAGCCTGAAAAACAATACATTGTCTAACTACTAGGGTGAAAAACAGAGATTTTAGTTGCACAACTTTTGCACAATATGTGGAGCCACACTGCCTGGTCTAGGCCCCTCTGTGTAGTGTGGTCCTAACTCTAATCTATGATAGCCTCCATCTTGGAGCATATATAGCAAAGGCTGAATTGGGTGCAGGTTTGCTAGGAGGTAGCCCAATCCTCCTTAAAGGCACAGGGACACAACAGAAGCCTTGCACATGACAAAGGCAGCTGAAGCCCCCAGTGTGTCCCCACACCAAATCCAACAAGTGAAACAAATGGCACATACACTCATCAATTCATAACTAGCTTTAAAGCAAAGTGCACATGAAAGGGCTTTACAAAGTCCACAAACAAACATTTCCCAGCACACTCATCAGCCAGCCTCAAAAACAATACATTGTCTAACTATTAGGGTTAAAAATAGAGGTTTTAGTTGCACAACTTTTGCAAAATATGTGGAAGCCAAACTGTCTCGTCAAGACCCCTCTGGGCAGTGTGGCTTCCACATATTTTGCAAAGGTTGTTTTTAACCCTAGTAGTTAGACAGTGTCTTTTTTTTGCAGGCTGGCTGGTAAGTGTGCTGGGAAATTTTTGTTTTTGTACTTTGAAATGAGCTTCCATATGCACCTTGCTTTAAAACTAGTTATGAATTGATGAGTGCGTTTGTCATTTGTTTCACTAGTTCTTCTTTATAAGCCTGTGCAAACAAAGGACTTTTGTTACCCTTGTATTGTCAGTTGACAATACAAGGCTCAGAATGATTGTTCTGCTTATTGACTACTGAGTGCAGGACAACTGACATCACATTGCTCCGTGTAAGTACCCTCTATTTATCAAGCTCCAGTGAAAAAAGAAGCAATGTAGCTTTGCCAGACTTCACAGAGATTCAGTTTGCTGGTTTTATCAAACAACTTTAAAGAAGAACTCCCAGAAAATTGTTTATTAACCCTTGCAGTAGGGTTATCCCTGCACTGCAAGGGTTAACTGCTCATTTTTCTCTAGGTTAAAAAAAAAGTTATACTCACTTGATGCTCTGAGCTGGTGTTCTAAGGTCCCATAAATCATCACATTTATACACAATGTATAGATGTGAGGACTCTGAGGAAGAGAAAGAAGCTGCAGTGGAGGAGGAGACAAGATTGAGGAGCACTGTGAAAGCTGGCCGTCTTGTAGATTAGGGTGATGATATCTTTGTTATTTTTGAACCTAGGCAAAAATGAGCAATTAACTCTTGCAGTGTATCATCACTGGGTCTGTCTGCTGCTCTTTGGCCTGAATTTGGTGGGAGGGGCAAGCATGCTCCTGTAAAAAGCATAGCATTCTCCCTCAGTTGTTCAAATTTATTATATGAAATAACACATCCCAAGGATCCCTTTGGATGTGCCGTCTTTCCTCTGCTGGCCACTGGGTGCTACAGACTTTAGCTGTGCAGTTTGCTGATTGGTTGAATGGTTGCAGGAAGGCCTAATGCCTGGATGTGTTTTTCCACGTGAAGCCTGGGAACAAAATGATTGATAGAAGAAAAAGCTTATAGCTGTGAGAGGGGGAAAGTATGGACTGGGGGTGAGAAATGATCAATGAATGATGGTGGTCATACAGACAGGAAATAAAGGTGGAAATAAAGGTCAAGATAGCTGCTTTAGCCTCCACAAAAGGGTTATTTTGTGGAGATACAAGTTTGCAGGCAATTGAGAGTAATGTCTGTAAAAAATAACTCAAGTCAACTGGACTTGTTGTATTTTTTTTTTCTCTTAAAGACGGTTCACTGGACATCCGACCAGCTTTCTCAATTCAGAATGACTTGTACAAAATATTATCTGGGAATAAATATGGTGAATGTTGTTCCAATCCACATAATCTGTTAGTCACAACCAGGTGTTGATAGTATTTGCATAATTGGAGCTAGGAGGTGTTAATAACGTGCCCAGAGAGAGGTGTTAAAACAGCATTCTATGTGGCAGACAATAGATGTCTCACCCCCAACCTCTATTCAAGCTTGGCTTCTCCATTTTTACATAAATGGCCTCTTTCACACCTCTTTTAAACCAGTCCTCCTCCCTGTCTAGGATGCGTACTTGACTGTCTTCAAAGGAGTGACCTTTTTCCTTTAGATGTAGATACACTGCCGAATCCTGATCAGAGGGTTTTGCTCTTCTATGCTGTGCCATACTCTGGTGTAGCTGCTGTTTTGTTTTATCGATATACAATTCTGAGCACTTCTCACTGCACTGGACTGCATACACAATGTGTTCATCTTGTGTTTTGGCGTTGGGTCTTTTGGGTGAACCAGTTGTTGCCTCAGTGTATTGTTGGGTTTAAAAACCCTCCTGAGTTTCTCAGACACCCCAGCTACATATGGGATGACCAAACTCTTCCATTTGCCATGCTTTTCACTCTCACTGGTACTCTTGGCATTCTTTCCTTTTCTTTCTGTTTTGACAAAAGCCCAGTCTAGATACCCGCATGTTTTAAGGGCCCCCCTGAGGTGTTTGAATTCCTTGGTGTTGGCCTCTGTTCTGTTGGGAATTTTCTCTTTCCGGTGGTGTAGAGTCCTGATGACTCCCAGTTTGTGGTCTAAAGGGTGGTGGGAGTAAAATAGCAGGTACTGGTCCGTGTGTGTTGGTTTTTTGGTAGACCTCTATTTCCAGCCTCCTTCCCTCTTCTACTGTTACTAAACAATCCAAAAAAGCCAGTTTGTTGTTTTGCATATCTTCCCGCGTATAATTTCATTGGACTAGACTGAAAACAACTGTCACTTTTTCAAAAATAAGTGTTGTTATCTTGATGTTTTAGCTTTGTGAGTTGAGCCTACTGTCTCTTTCAACCTTCAGCAGCCTACAGTAAGTGAGAAAAGCCAAGGACATGTAGAAAGGGGGTTTCTGTACACCACGGGAAGGAAAAGACCATTAAAACCAGAAATTGTGTACGCAAAAGAAAAGAATATGAAAATACAGCATTTAAACGTGCCAAGCAAGGAATACGATATAGAAACAGAAGATTTTTTTATATTTTGAAAGTAGTCCCTATAGCAAATGCTGATTGCATAAAGTAAGTACTGAATATGGTAGGTGTCAGCATGAGCTGTCAATGTGTACCTTTCCTGCAGCTGTGTGCCCCTCCAGCGCCACCTGGAGCTCATCTCAAATCTCTCCACCGCCATCTTCACAAACCATCGGTAGCATGCAGAGCGTTACACAAGAGTTACTCTTTACAGTTGTCAAAGTAATGATAAATGAAGCAACAGAATATAGATAGACTGGGCCTCCCAAAGTCTTGTAAACTAGGTAATGTATTACATTCAGAAATGTCTCTTGTAAAATAATATGACACGTGAGCCAGTCATGACTAATGTCATTGAAAAATGAATTACTAAACATATTTACTATTTGCTGATTTTTCTTTACAGCATAAAATGACTTCTTCCTTCATTTGTAAAAATCTGATTTCCCATTTCTTTGTGCTATGTCTGAATAGCTTTATACTATATTTGTTTACGCAGAATATCAATAAACATGTTCAAGAAGATCATATTGGACTTTCTTACTGGGTCGCCTCTAACACTACAGGAATTAACATAAAAGTGTTTTGGTGTAATGCTCACAGTAATAGCAGGGGCATCGTGGAAACGAAAACATAAATTACTTCATGGTTTGTTCTGTAGAAGGCACCAAGTGCTCCAAAGAATCTATGCTTTCCAAAAGAGTTGATTCCAAAATGTGTAGAACCTTGGATGCAAAACTAATGTATTGAATTCTGATGTCCTGAGTCTAAACCTAGACTTCTGCTTTAAGGAGATGGAAAGAACAGTTTTGGAGATGCTAATATCTTGGTATTTTACACTTACCCAACCTACTCCTTT